CTATAAGTACGTATATTGTATTATATATGATATAGTGCTAGTTCAAAGAAGAACTAACTATTCGTTTATATAAAAGCTTGCACGTAACCTAACCACGTGCTTAGCAAGGCCAGAGCATGCAGCGCACCTACGTAACAAAGGTGCTTAGCATCAGTACTATATACATGGACAAAACAAATACAGAGCCGCAACTCCACCACAATAGCTATTTAAAGCCGATCCTCCCTTAAAGCCTTAAGAAGCTTCTTTATAACGATCTCAAAAGCGCGTCGCATAAAAACGTGATAGCGTTCTATTAGCCCGATACTATGATAAGCTTTTACAAGCATCTGCTTTAAAGTGCTGCTAATACTCTTAAAGTAGCTTCGAAACGTTGCCGAATTAAAGTTAGTTCCGGGATCGTGCACGACGTTTATAAAAAGCTCGACGTAAGTATTGATTTAATATCGACTGAATCTCTTAAGCAAGTGTTATGCGAATATGCTTTTGAAAAAAGTAGCGGCTTGAAAATTAATAAAATCGCAAACGACGTGCAATACGTTCTTGCCGTTAAAGTGCATTACGTTTATATATATCTGTTGCACAGTGTGGTCCTTGCCTCACGTGCTCCTCACGTGGCCTAGCACGTGCTCCCTTGCACGTGCCTGCCAAGCTCCTTAGAGGCCACGTACCACATGTACATATCTACAGTTGCTCCCGTGCTCCCCTGAATATACCAGACACTTCTATCGCCATCTCTTAGACCTTGATCTGCTCCACCTACCTAGGTATACGCCCTCTGTCACCATAGTTAAGAGCCACACGCCTCTACGAGCTCCTTTTAATTATCATCAATACGGTACAGACTGCCTCGGTGGTTGCAGGATTATCGTCTTCTTTCTTTTCGGTCGGTAGAAGTTGTTCTCCCTTCTGACGCTCGGAGCGTCCAGTAGGAGCTTTTCAAACCTCATTTTTTACCTTATTTTACACTCCACTTCAAGCTATTCTACGACATGTCACTTTAAAGCGCCCAACACCTTACGGACCGAGCGTCATGGGTCGATTGGTTTATCGACTACAAGGCCGTTGCGATGATGAAAGGCGTTTGGAAGCTTGCAGACCCTTATTCGAAGGAAACCCAGCCTCACATCCCTTTCTTAGAACCGCCGGCACCACCTACGATTGACGACCTGATCGTCAGAGAGAACGAGCGGAGGGATAATCTTATAAAGGAATGGGAGGAGGCGCCTCTGGCTACTCGTGGAGACCGCCCAATGCTGGGGGGTGCGAGTTTCCAGGACGTCAAGGAGGAGTTTGCATATCGGTCGAGAGAATACTTTGGGAAGGAGGCGCGCTGGAGCGCCTTGAACTCCAAATACCAGTACATGCTGGAGTGGGTGAATCAGACGGTCCCAAAGGAGCTGCTGCAGCCCCATAAGACTCGTCTGATTAAGGAGGAGGAGTTCTCACTCCAAACGCTGGTGAGGTCTCTACGGGACCAGTACGCGGAGGACGACGAATCGACGAGGGAGCATGTGCGAGACGAGTACCGTCGAATACTCAACGAAGGAGCTGCGGGGACCATTGAACCTCAGCAATGGATTCGAAATTGGGAGCTCGTGCACTCCAAGGCTGTCGCTTTGGAGCCCGAATTGCAAGATGTTGTCGGTTCTCTTGCTATAAAGGATTTCTTGAGAGTAATTGCTCAAAGGTTGGACCCTGCTTGGGGCAGTCGACACTTGGGTCTTGTGGTCGACGCCATCAGTATGGGGGAAGCTTCCAAGTTGAAGAGCTTGAGAGACTACGCAAAGATGTTTGAAGGGCATTTACAGCAAGGAGGAGCTCGTGAGGGTGTGTTCGCCACACTCAACGAGCTCCCAAAAGGAAAGGTTTGCCCTTGCATGCGTACTCACTCTTGGCAGCCTTCTTCTTGCGACCTATTGAGGCTTGCTTCTACTGGTCAAAACCCTAGGAATCTCACAGTGTCGGAGCCAAAGCTTCAAGCTATTAGAGAGCGATTCTCTATGCCTAGCTACGAAAAGCTGAAGGCGAGCTTGGAGCTCTTATGGAAGGAGAATGGAGCTTCTACTAGCGAGGGCAGGTCCAAATACCCTGGAAGTGTAGCTGCCTAGGAAAGGCCACCTAGGAGCAGGTCTATGAGGGATGTTGGGACCGCTCGCGCACGCCGGAAGAGTGAATTGGGCCGTAGCCTTAGCGCTGCTGGAGGCTTATTGAAGCTTGGAAACCGTGTGGAGCTTGCGAGGGGGAGGTGTAGTGTGAGGAATTGGGACGCCTGCCTCAACTACAAGTTATTTGTATATTTGAGTCGCTCCTGGGGGGTGGAGGTTTAAGTTGGCGAGTCTTTGCGACGGCAGGCGGACCCACCTTGCACCTTGCCTTGAGGACTATTGGCTGCTGCCACTTTGGAGGATGCTCGTTGCAGCTTACTGGCGCTGGCGTGCTCCTATTTCGTCTGCCCTTTGTCTGGGAGCTTATGAGCTCCGTTCATCTTTTGGCTAGATTTTCCTTGGGTTTTTTCGTTTGTTTTTTCCCTCTTTCTTTGGGCGAGCCTTTTGTCAGTTGAGCAGTCGCTTCGCAACTGGGGGGTGTGTTGCACAGTGTGGTCCTTGCCTCACGTGCTCCTCACGTGGCCTAGCACGTGCTCCCTTGCACGTGCCTGCCAAGCTCCTTAGAGGCCACGTACCACATGTACATATCTACAGTTGCTCCCGTGCTCCTCTGAATATACCAGACACTTCTATCGCCATCTCTTAGACCTTGATCTGCTCCACCTACCTAGGTATACGCCCTCTGTCACCATAATATCGTATTATTAAAATCAATATTATCTTTAAGTTTAATACTAAACTTCTTCGAAAAGCGTCGGAATACTTAGTAGTAATAGCAAAACTTTTAGATGTTATAAAGCAAATCCCGCTTGAATTCGTGCTCGGCCCTCTTAAGAACAGCAGCAAATCGACCTGCTAAAAAGTAGCTAAAACGCTTGTAGATAGTCCTTAATTGCTCTTCCGTAAAGTAGTAGTAAACGGTCTCGCTTTCGCCTTCGGTATTATAATAAGCAGCAGCGTGCTCTTTACTTAATAGCATTTATACGTGCTTAAATATCTTTACTACTAGTATTTCCTTTTTCTTTTAAACTAATACGTTCCGCAAATTGTTTAAAATCACTTTATGCTTATCTATATTAGCTAATAAAAATAAAAAGAGTACGTCGCTTTTTACAACGTAGAACTCTACTTAACTTAAGAGAGTGTTTAAAGTAACTGTTTTAATAAAAGTGACAAAGCCGATCTCGTACTTAACGGACTTCTTTTTTGCTCGGGATGTATTTAATTAGACTTCGAAGTACTTTTTTTAAAGTGCTCGTAGTTAAAGCAAGCTAGCGGTAAAAAAATTAGCTGCTCCGCTATCAATTATAAAGCTTATGAATACGTTTTCCGAGTACTTAAAAGTTATATAAGTCTTTGCTTTACTCGCGAGCACGTTTTAAGTCTCGATTTAACTAGTAAAAGCGTAGAATGCCGTTTGAATCTCTAGTTATTTATATACCTCGTTAGCGTTAAAGGTGCTATAAGTAGTTATAAAACTTTCCGATATGTTAGCGTAGCTGCTCGATTCGAGTAGCTCGTTTAATAAGCTTGCGATAAATTAATCGATTTTTTTCGTAGATACAAGTAGCAATCTTTCGATCGATGCTACGTATTAAGAGAATTTGCTTTTCGTCACTTTTTTTACGTCTTTAAAGCTTTGGAACTTGATTACGGAAGCTTTGCGTTCGTCGAAAGTATAGTTAATGCTTTAGCAACTTAGCTTTTTATAAACAAAACACTTTTTTTTACTTTTAATAGCCTTAGCAGCTTTCTTACTTCCGAAGTATTAGCGGTCTTAAATAAAGCATTCGTATTCTTCGTTTAAATCGGAATCAGCTTTTAAAGTATGCTAAAAGTAAGTGTGATCGTGTGACTCGTTAAAGCTCGCGTAAGCTTTACTTGCTTTAAAGGTTCGAGAGGTCTTAGTTATAAACGCAATTGCTCGGCGAATATCGGCAATTATAGCGATAGAAGTAAAAGCAAAGTTCATTCGTGCAATCGTAGTTTTTAATACGTTTTTACAAGCTAAATACAGCTTGTTAGCAAAGCTTTTATCGTCTTTTAAGCTTAAGCGTAAAGAGCCTTAAATGCTTTTAAGCTCTTTAACGAGCTTTTCAAAGCACTCGCTAAGCGAAGTCTTTAGATTCTCTTTTTTAATTAAATCTAACGAAATTTCTTTTTAGCGGTCGTATTTTACTTGCCGCTAGTAGTTAGTTTCAAAGTAATCCTTTATCGCAATAGCGTTCGCTTTGAAAGTCGAAAGCCGGGCTTTAATTACGTAATTATAATAAAAAGTGATAGCTTTTTTCGTAAGCATAATAAAGAACGCCGCTAAATAATCGTTTAAAGTTAAACCGTATCGATTTGCTTGATTAGTAAAAATCTTTAATTAAGTTTTGAAGTCATCGTCGAGCCTCGAATACTTTAGCTCTTTAAGAAAGCTTCGCGCGAACAAAGCTAATTTCTTCGCTCTCGAGTAAAGGTCTGCTGCTTTTAGCTTAAGGAAATCATCTTTATCATCGTCAAGAGCGCTTAGAATGCTATACGCAAGTATACCGTGCTTAGCTAATAGTCGGATCGGTAAAAGGTTATTAATATAATGGCTTGTAATAGGTCGTCTTTTTTTAAGGTCTTTAAGAGGCTTATTTCCGGATCCGAGGTCTTTAAAAGGTCCGTTTCCGAATCCTTTTAATAGTTTAAAAGGCTTATTTCTATTTCTTCCGTACTCGTAGCTTCGATCTCTTTGCTAATCTCTTTCGTTCTTTCTTCGTCGATCATCGTTAAGATCGCTAAAGCTATTCGGGTCACCGGCTAAAGCTTTAGCTTAGTGATATCCGTACCTTTAAGCGCGCTCTTAGCGATTCTCGTACTTTTAATATCCTTTTTATCGATACGTAGCTTATTAAAAGATTTAAAAGGTTTATCGGTACGTTCGAAAGTGCTAGATCTTTTTTTCGAATTGTTAAAGTTAAATACGGAAATCTGCACGCTGTCTTTAGTAAAAGCTGATTTTTCTCGGAATGCTTTTAGGTTTTAGCAGGTTTTTTTTTAGCGTATAGCTCTCGTAGCTTCGAATGTTGTCTAGTCTAATAATGATCTCAAGGCCTTTGTTATTGTTGCTATTAAGCTTAAGCTTTTCAGAAAACTTAATATAGCTCTTAAAAAAAGGGTTTAAGGGCCGCTAAGGTGATTTTAGCTCTTATTGTATGATTAGCGTATTGCGTAGCGATTATTAAATTGAAAATGAGTACGTTAAAGTACTTCGTCGTAGTCTTTCGTTAGATTATATAGCGTAAGTTCGTAATTTCGTTATTTGCTTTATTATAGCTTTTATATTTCGTTTTATATCTTTTTTTTTTTAAAAAAACTTTTTTCGTAACTTTTAGACTTCGTCCCTTTCTTCTTTTTTGCTTGAAGTCCTCTTTTCTTTTCTTTTTAAGCTTCGCGAAGGTAAAGGTGGAAGTAGTTAAAGTATAATATCTTCGTCGTCCGTAAAGTTTTCGGCGGTCTACTTTGATTCGAGGTTTAAAAGTGCTGCTTGTTATTCTTTTATTTTTTTAAAGTCTACTAGTGCTACTGCTCGTCATTTAAGAGCTTAATTATTTTATTAGCGTAACCTTTTTGCTTTAAGAAGCACTATACGCTTTTAGATAGCAAGTATTCTTTGAAGTCAATAAAAGTAGCAAACTTAAGGCCTCGTTTTGTATTGTCTTTCGTCATCGTGAAGCTCGTTTGATCCTAGCGTAAGAAAGCGTGCCAGAATAAGCTTTACAAGTCGTAATCCTTTAACCTTTTACACTTCGCATCTAAGAAGTCTTTTATTATCGCTCGAGCCGTAATCTTATTATCTAGCTTTGCGTATAATAATTTATTCAAGTCAAATAAGATGCTCGACATCTCGTCATCTAGCCCTTCCGATAGCTCTGAGAGCTTTAAATATAATAGTTCTTTTAGCTAAATAGCTAAGGGTTCCGTAAGTAGTAATAAGACTCGAAGGGTATAATACTTTGCTTTTTATCGGCTATGTGACGAACTAATGAATTCTGACCTTAGAATACAAAGTGAAGAAAGGAAACAAGAAGCTCGAAGAGCTCAAGAAGGTCTATATACATAGCTACAAGCGCTAAGCTTGAATAAGTGATCAGCTAATGCAAGTAACAAAGCAGGCTGTCATACTACCTTTTTAAAGAGCTGTTTTAGCTCTTTTAAAAGTACTTGACAGAAGAAAGGAAAATAAAAAAAATTTAATCGTAAATTATAATTTACGAATAAAATTATTAAAAAAAAAAAAAAAAAATACGCCGAAGCTATAGATCGCGGTAATCGTCAAAGTCAGCGTCGTAGCTTTTAAAAGCGTTCTATTCCGTTAAAATTTCCTTTTTTTCGTTCGAGTTAAATTCGCTTAAACTTTTATTTTTTTTAACGGGTCGATTCGAAAAAAGGTTTTAAAAAACTCGTTTCTTTATTAAAGGCTTAGCTAGAAAGAAAGTATAGCTAGCTATTTAATAGTCGATTGCATCGTAACGAGTATAGCGATTTGATTTGCGCTAAGCTTCGCGTTGATCGAAAGTGTTATAAAAAGCATGCTAAAAAATAAAGTATCGGTCTTTTAATAGCTAAGTTTAATTAGCTTTGTAAGCATTGATAAGCTTTATAGCGCCGAGCTCGTTAGCGTGCTGCAATTGCTCGAGTTGTTAAGCGCGGTCGATTATTAAAAAGTTTATTAAATCGCCGAAAAGAAAGCTCGTTGACGTGCGAAAGCGGTTTTAAAGAAAAGCCGATAAAGCCGAAAGTCGAGAAAATCCGTAAGACGAACCGGAAAGACCGGAAGAGCCGGAAAAGCGTTTAAGCTGCTAAATGACGTGCACGTATTCGATATACGTAATTAAAAGAGTCAATTAGCTATTTAAACAGATCCGTATAATTGAGTTTAAACTATTGCGGAACGCAATAATCTTATTAGCGTCGAACTAAGTCTAATAGCGAGCAGCGTGCAAAAGTCGTTCGAAGCGTAAAACGTA